TATACGGTATTTATTTTTTAATTCTTAAAAAAAAAGTGAATTCGTTATTTTTCACTCATCGGTTTTTAATGGGTTTAATCTCATATACTGCTAGTAAGATATTCACTAAAAAAACTATAAAAATAGGTTAAAAAAATCAAAATAAGTGTATCTACCTTCAATTTGAGGATAATTTAAAATTATTCACTTGAAAAAAGATAATGGAGTTGTTATTCCGTATTTTCATTATTCCATTTGCAGGATGTTTTACCTATGTGCTGGAATAAAGGGAAATTACACGTACATTAATAAAACCATACTAGCTTATATTTAATGTTTGCAGTTTAGAAATAAGTTTAAGAGACCTCGCTATCTCTAATAAACAGAATACAAAAACTGATTTAAAAAAAAAAAGTTAAATGAGTCTATTTTCCCTTCATTTGAGCAGATAAATAAGATGACCTGCATATGGAATTAGTATGTTTGCTCTTAAATAAGATTATTAGATATTATGCACTATAAATAAGATGGATTTTTTTTCTTATTTTAAACATAGATCATCTTATTCCAGTTGGAAAGTTGTCCTACTTACCAACTCTGATAATACCCTTATTTCAAGAAAAAAAGGCTTACAGATATATTTCAATGTTTGCAGCGTAGGACTATCTTGTTTTACTGGTTGGGTAAGTTTTTGTTTTTTTTTTGTCTCAGGATTTCCTTGAGGTGAACTCAGAACAGGCAAATAATCTTGGTCAGATAAACAAGCTACGCAAATACTGATTGTCATGCAGGGAGCCATGCAAATGACTCTATACTGCTTAAAGAGACCAAACCCCTCCCAAGCTGGGATTATCTTGATAATCAGAGTAAAAGTCACAGTTTTATCTCCGTCCAAGATCTAAGCAGTGGTGTTCTACAGCTCCATGAAGTGATTGAGGGAAGTTTTAGGTCATGTTTTGACTCCATAAATCACTTTTTCCCACCTTAAATTGATTGAAGCATTAAAAATTTGGACGTTAAAAGAAAAGTCCAATTACTGCAAATGTAGGAGTTCGCCTTAATTCCATTTGGAGGTTATTTAATTTTAAAGGAAAAATTACAGTCTGCAAAGAATAATCAGTGGATCATTATCTATACGTAAAAGTAATACGTTTGCAGTGATTTAATGAATTTAGCGTTAATCAGTAAAAAAAAGATTTTTTTTATAATTTTCGTGGCGATCACTGAGTCTGGGGGCGGCCATTTTTGCCCAAATATAGTAACCCCTCCCTCCTGCCATC